CCCCCAACGCGCCCCGCGCCCCTCGTCGTCGTGCAGAACTCCCTTGTGCGCTTCTAGTTCACGCACGGCTCTCAGTAAACTGTGTTAGCAGCGGCCACCGGCGCCATCCACCCCACACGCTGCGCTGCACCGTCCAACAAGGTGCCGTTTCTTTGCTCGGTGAGAAAATATACGAACCGTTTTGCCGTACCAGCTGCCAGAACATTTTCTAGCCCTGTGAGTAACATCCGGTAACATCTGAAGTGTTTGTCCGAGTGTAGGTTACGACTCTATCAGCCCCCCGGTACGCGTGTGCGCTTTACTTATTCACTTCCCTTCCCTTTTCCGATCTTCGACTCATTTCCGCTGATATGTATTTTTGTGCGTTGTCGCTGGGTGGGCTGGTGCGGTCGGGTCGGTATCGGGGCGGCGTGTGCGAGACCATGGTCACACACTCACACACTCTCTCACACACAAACACACTCACAGGGACTGCCTGCCATGTGCCATGGGCTGAGCCATGGGCCCGGCCTGGGACGTGAACCAGGCAGGAGGGGAAGCCTGGCAAGGGCGGGGAGCGAGGCCTGCCAAAGAGTCAAGGCCGCCGAAACATCCCTGAGCACCATCGAATCGGACACACGTCAAAACTCTCGCGTTTCCCTCCCCCGCCCTCCATAGACGATGAGATGGTTTCGCAGTCGAGCAGCACAGAAAGTGGGACCATGGTTTCTACACCGGTGCGCTAGCCGCAGGGTGCACGCCCTCTGTGGGTAGTCCGCTGTGGCTCCCCCCACCCCACCCCGGGGCGGCGCCCGGCGGCCAGCGGCCAGCGGCCCCGTGCGCTGCCAAGTCGGATGGGTTGCCTACCCTCCGGGCTGTACATTGGCCTCGGGGAGGGGAGGGACCCTCACGGGAGGGGTGGAGTGGAGTAGAGCAGCACGGAAGGAGTCGATCTGCGAAATAATTCAGCGTCCCCTGCGGCCCGGCTGCCTAGCGGCCGCCTCCAGCCCAGGAGGGAGGGTCCCTCCGTCCCTCCAGTGCTCCGGGGGCATTACCGTCACGCAAGATTGACAGACTGACTTGGCTGGATGGTTGGTTGATTGATTGATTGATTGATTTTTTTGAATTTTCTTTTTGTTTCAGAGAGGAAGTTGTTCGTGGGCATGCTGTCCAAGAAGTGCTCAGAAAACGATGTGAGAACACTGTTCGGACAGTTTGGCACCATCGAAGAGTGCACGGTGCTGAGGGACACCAACAACCAGAGCAAAGGTACGTCGTTGGGAACGTTGTCTAGTTGGTCTTCCCCGCCGCCTCCGTACAGTACTCGTGGCCGTAAAGTTATTGTAAAGAAACGCGTTTTACGGACGCGCCCTGCTCCGCGCCTTTGCCGCGGATTAGCGTGAACTGAGCCTCGCCGAGCGTCTGTTAGCACTACACTTCAAATTGACTCTACGGCCAAGGTAACCGTGGCCCGGGCAGCCTGGGGCGGGTAGGCGGGCGGGTGTGCAGGCGAGAGACTCGCCGCACAACCGACCTGCTTCTGCTGAGCTGCTGAGCTTTCGTTCACTTCTGTTCTCCCGCCCGCCGTGACACACGTTGTCTCGTCTCCCTAAGTGTAAAGTTGAGTTGGGCATAGCGCCGTGAATGAGAGGTAGAGGTGCACGATGTACTCGAAACTGACGATCTAAATGGGTAATTTTCCAAACCGAGTGGGGGATATGTGAACCGGCAAGATATTTGGCATTTTCAGTTTCCACCAGTTTGCTCTGTTCTTTCCGAAGTGTCTGGCGGCTAGGCCTAGACAAGGCTGGGCTGGATTGTGGTGTAACTAAACACTTCGGCTGGCCCGGCACAGCTCGGCTCGGCTCAGCGTGGCTCAGCGAAGCTTGTGTCAGCAGCGCTCGCTCAGTCGGGTCGGGCCCCGCTCGAATGGAGAGGTGGGAGGGAACGCGTCCGGAAAACGGCGCGATTTGCAAGACGCTAATGGGGGATGGGGAGTAGTGGCCCGTGAGCCCCGTAGGCCCCTTCTTTCGGACGCGGCCCACAAGTCGCACCCTGGAATGGGAAGGGAGGAGGAGAGGGGGGGAGGGGGGTAATCGGGTGACGAGGGGGACTTCCAAGTCGCGAGTCGGCGCGATGCAATGCGAGGCGGGCGAGTAGCGAACAGAGTCGCCGCCCAGCAGCAGTTAGTCCGCGCCGCGTCGTCTGCTAGAGGAGGCGAGGTTTTCTGTCCATTGTGTGTACTTATCCGTCCAGTGATTTGACTTTCTGTGGCCGTGGTCGCCTCCATCACCTCACTAACGCTGTGTGTCTTCGCTGTGCAGGCTGCGCTTTCGTCACCTACACGTCCAAGCAGTGCGCCGTCAACGCCATCAAGGCCATGCACCACTCGCAGACCATGGAGGTGAGTACGAGTCCGATGTCGCGCCCCGCGCCCTCTGCCCCTATCCGGGGCGTTTGGGACCTTTTGCGACGGAGAGCGGCGGGGTGGTGTGGGTGAGGTGGCGTGGCGGCTGGCGGCTGTGACCGCCCCGTCCCGCCCCGCCGCGCCCGTACCGTACCCCCGCCCGTGGTGGTGTTGGGAAAAGCCACGGAAAGCCATGCGCGCGCCACTTACCTTCCCCAAACACTGACTTTAAGTCAAGTGACGTAAACACCGGACCATCCGTCCGCCCCGCCCGACGTGCTCTCCGCTGTTGCCACGCCACGCCACGCCTCGGGTGGGTTGGGTTTTACACGTCAAAGGAAAAGGACACTCGAAAGGAAAGGACTTGCGAGGCCCATTCGCCAACGGTTGTCGCGTCAGGCATCGCACTGTTGTCCTGGGAGCAGGGGCTAGAGAGAACCGTGCTCCTATGCACCATCTGGGCGATCGTGGCGTTTAGGTGGGGCAAAATCGGCAAAAGCTGTAGTGTATAGGGGTGTGTGGGGTGAGTGTCTCATTGGACTTGAGGGCGTGTATGGTCGACGGAACTTGCCGTGAGTCTGGCGAGAGAACAGCACGGTAACTTGCTGTAACTCGCGTGGAGATACGGGCAACAGCACTGTTCTTTTGTCAGTACGGCTATATCCTGTTATTTTCCCTCGTTTGAAACTCGTGATGTGTGTTTCAGGGCTGTTCGTCGCCACTGGTCGTCAAGTTTGCAGACACACAAAAAGAAAAAGACCAGAAAAGATTGCAGCAGATGCAGGCCAACTTATACAATTTAGCAGGAGTTAACATGGGACCACAGTACTTAACGGTAAGTGGTGTTCATTGGCGTCTAATTATACAGTTCAACTCTCTAACAGTTTCCTCACTTACATGAACTTTTTTTTGGTGATACAAATGTGCTGTATTTGTGTTCTAGGGAGACTCCGTGCTGGCACCGTCATCCCTCCAGTTACTACAGCAACTTCAGTCAAGTGGCAGCCAAATGTCACCGATTTCATTAAACACTGCTTCATTGCAGCAGCAACTATTAATGCAGCAACAGCTCCAAACACCAGGTAAATTCTAAACCACTATTGGTCGAAAACTTTCTTTCTTTGAATATTTCATTTGTGGTATCTGATAAAATATGCTCATGTCATCTAGGTCTACATAGCTTAGCTGCACTCCAAAATTCTACTGGACTAGGTCTAACTGGGTCCTCCCCAACTGGAACAAGTGACATTAATCAAGCAAATCTTCAGGGTCTTGCAGCCTTAGCAAATTTATCCGTTAATCCAGGTAAATAAGAAAATTGGAAACTGTCTCTTTTGCAGGACTTGAAACTTTGATTATGTTGTCTATAACTCAGACTGATTTATTTTGCAGGTGTTAACCCAATGAGCATGCAGAACCTTGTTACGTTAGCAGCAATGACAAGTGGAAGCAATCCAAATCTTCAAGTTTCTCCTACTGGTGAGAATTGTTTTCTGTTGGGGCCTCTAAGCTGTAGACTAATATTACATCAACTTCCAATGAATACATTTTCTTAATACTCTTTATCTTAAATCTGTAGTAGTCACTCTCCATCAGATCAACTGAAATATTGCCCTCTTGCATAATAAAAAAAATATAATGTTCATGATAATCATAAAAAAACAATAAGTTAAATTAATTAACTCCAAGTTTGATTTTTGTTTTAAATTTGTTGCATAGGATCCAGTGCCTCTGGACTAAGTAGCCCAGGTTGGTTCTTGTTTCTTTCTTTCTGAATAGTTCTGCTTTGGAAAAGTATGAGCACTTACCAAACATCCCTTTGGTGGCAAGCTATACGTATCTTTGGTGACAATTGTCTCTGCATGTATTGGTAGAATTTCAGTAGGTATAATTTATGTGCAGTCCAAATTTTTCATAGTACATTATGTGGGTCATTAGATCCACATTCTCTCGCATGATATTTGTTACTCTCTTCCAGCAATGTTAAATTATCAATGTGGATGCTCTTATGAGTTTGAAAATTTTAGTAGTGAGTTTTTTAGACCTCTCTAAAGTTAACGTAATATAGTGAATGAGCACTTTTCCCATACCTTGCTTAAATATTTTATCTCTTTCCCTCCCGTGACTTCTCACATTTATTTCAGTTAAATAAATTTTGCATTTCAAATGGTGAGCTTATTCTCCTTTGGTTGAATTTTGAATTAATCAACTGAAAAGGAAACTGCTACTTGGACGCACTGGGTCCCAACTGTACACAGCATGCGACCTTTATTTGATCATTGTTGCACAGTTATGTTTTGTTTCATAAACTGTTTTGTACTAATTTTTTCTACTATTTACTGTGAGGAAGAGCTTTTTTTTGCATGCTGGCAGGAAAGCAGTTACTTACACTTTGCTGCAAGAGTTAAGGCAATTGTTACTTAACTTGTTTGTATCTTCCATTTTTGTGCTTTAACACACCTTCGTTGACTCTAATGCTGATCTAACCCGAGTCTATTCAAACAGTTTTAGATCTTAAGATTATATCAGTCTAAAGTATGTATTTTTACTGAGATTTTTACATTCTATCTATCACATATACTGTTGGATTTTAATCTTACCCATTCTTTCTCTTATTTAAAATATACTCCAACCTATGTGCATTCACTTTAATTCACAATCAGAGTCCAGTCCTATGCTGAGGTTTACAACATTAAATATACTGTATTTATATTTTGTGTTGCTTCAGGCTTTGATCAATTTTTTTTGTTTGATTAGTAGATCGTTATAACAACTTAAATTTAGTTCTGTCATTGTTTCTGTAATGGTTAGACTTGTGCTTCAAACTGTTCTACCATTTTACGCTTGTTTCATTCAAATTTCATTCATGGGTCTGTAGTTGACTCTTTCACACTGGGCTTGGTCTGTGTTCTTAAAGGGGCATGTTATTTCTGTTTCAGCTCTGTCCAGTCTCACAAACATGTCTGCAGGTGTGTGTACGTGTCTGTTTTTTTTTTTCTGTTCTTACCTAACACCTTCAATTCCATCATGCTCTTGTTTTAAAAACCTAAGACGTCTAAAGCAATTTGTGCAGGTTCAAGTAGCTCCTAAATTAAAATAAAATCCTCCCATTTCGAATATTAAACTTCTAAAAACAGTATACTATGGTCAATTTTGGAACCTTCTCTTCAGTTGTCAGAAGGCAAGAAGCCTAGGTTCTGTTTTCTGTCTTAGAAACCTTTGTGATCATTAATTTTATTGTCATCATAATATTTTTAAGTTTGTCTCATCCTCTTTGGTGTAGTTATTGTCAGAATTTTCCACCATCCCATGTGTGAGGGTCACTGGGCTCGCATTTATGATATTTTGCACTTTTACATATTCTCAGTAATATCCTAAACTGTATCTTATGCATGGAATTACGCTAAAAAATTTATGTGCATAGCTTATTTAAAATTTGTAGCTGTTCTCCAGCATGTAACCTTTTTTTTCTGGTGTACATATGTTTCTCTCTTCTAACACTTCACTTTGCAAATTTCTCAACTTAATAAGTAACGATTTAATTTATTTCTAGTTGTAAATTTCTTACAAATCATGATTTTATCTTCACTCTCCAAATTGTGCAGTGTGATCATTTCTATGAACTACAAAATGTTAAATGTGCTATTGTTGGTTTCAGGGTCTCTTACTGGCACATCAGGGGGCAGCTCCATGAGTCCAGTAACTAGTTTGGGGCTTGCTGGATCGCCACTCAGTTCTATGGCATCGTTGAATAGTCTAAATGCAATGTCTAATGGGTCAGGACTTGATTCACTCACTTCAGCTTATCAACAATATGCAGGTTCGTATCAAAAGTAGTTAGCAAGGGATAGGAAAATGTTTAGATCGCTTTTCAAAGTTTTGTTATGGTTTCAGACATTTTAGTCCTCTCTAGAATTGTCTGCTTATAATTCTTGCATTTTTTTAAATATTTCTTTTTAGTATTCATTTATTCTAGTCATAAAACCAACGCATTACTTTATATTTTTCTTTTTCAAGTTTTGCTTGATTGTTTTATTTTATTTTGCATACTTCCTATCAACAGATATGCTGGTTCCTACGAGTGGCTTCTCTCAGTTTGGTGCTAGTAGTTTGGGATCTGGCACTGGATCTGCAGGCCCAGGAAGTGTAGCAGGTCTTTCTTCTGCAGGCAAACAAATGATGGGACCAGAAGGAGCCAACCTGTTTATTTATCATCTACCAAATGAATTCACAGATGCCGATTTAGTTTCGGCTTTCCTACCGTTCGGCAATGTGATTTCTGCTAAGGTCTACATTGATTTGGATACCCACAAGTCAAAATGTTTTGGTAAGGTCAATTTTTTATACCAAGGGTGCTTACTGTTATTTGTCTATAGCAAGAGTATTAATTTAACTGTTTTAATTTGTCTTTTATTTTTAGGATTTGTGTCTTATGACAATCCTATGAGTGCTCAAGCAGCAATATCAAATATGCATGGATTCCAGATTGGTGCCAAAAGGCTGAAAGTTCAGCATAAACGCAAGAAAGATAGCAACAAACCCTACTAGGATCCTCCCACAGGTACTAAGAAATTCTACCTTAATAATTTGCCTGATGGCTGCAAGTTTATTAGTTTTGCATCTCCAAGTACTGTATGTCTAGAAGCTTACAGTACTACTTTTGATATTTTGACAGTGTGGATGGAGGATTATAGGCATTGACTTGAAGTTATGCATTGCATTTATGCATTCTTTTTTGACTGCAAGAGCATTTTTTCTTAGCCTTTGCACAGTACAACTTCGGATAGTCAAATAACAGACGTATCTTTAATGTGTCACTATTTATTATTGTAATCTTTTAATGTTGAAAGTGGGAAATAAGCGCAAAAGGAATTGTTGAACTGGTCTAGTCTTCGTTCATCTTTTGCTGTTCGATAAATTTTTTAACTAGTTGTGCCATTGGATGAAAAAAAAATATTTTATATGGACAATAATACGTTATTGTGACATTTTTTCTTGATCTGTGATATTATGTGTTCAAGGTCAACTTGATATAGATCCCATGAACCTGTGATATTTCCAAAATGCAATCTTCGTTTTGTTGATGCATTGCTCATCTAGTCATCTTTTTAATTTCTATATTCCATTCAAAGTTACTGGCCATGGAATATAATTCAGATTTAGAAGTAGGTACTGTATTACCTAGTTCTGAAAACAAATCTTATTCAACAAACTTTTGTTGTCTAGCCTAGGGGTTGATTTAAGCTCTAAGGTAGTGTGGCTAATGTATTTTTCAACTGCGTGTAAAATTTTTGGATTCTATTTAATATACTTCATGCTACTCTCTTATTATAATCAAACATCAGCTATAAATACATTTACAATCAGTATCTAGAAATTCTTAGAAATATTGTTTTTAGCAGTTACATCTATAAATCTTTTTGCCACGCTTTTTTCATGTGGGAGGGGGAGTAGGGCTTCAGTCATCATTAACACAATTCCCAGTGTAAGAAAATACTGCTCCTTCAGTTATATGTTGCGTTCTTCTTCCCAATAACCGGTTAATATTGTTTCCTCACTATCTTAAATGTTCATTGTATGCTGTGTGGTATTGCATGCTTTGCACTTGTCAAATTGTGCAAGTTTTACCAAAATCCTTAAATTTTGGAGTGAAACATGCCTGCAAATCCTTCAGTTATTCTTTCTCTTTTTAAAAGTCATTATTACACTTTTCTGGCCCCTGCATGTTTTTCTGTTCTGTTTTTTTAAATACTATGTAACAAACTCAAATTCTGTTTTAATCAAACAGAGATCTCATAAACTTCCTAACAGTTTTTATCTTATCTTTTCTCTAACTTCAGTCCTGTGGCAGAGGTCAGCCGGCCTTGTCTGTTCCAAGCAGCTAGCTACTGCATTTTTACAAGTTATATTAGCATTTTTAAAAGAAATCTTCTGTCTTCTATATTGCTTATTGTAATATGAAATCAGTCTTGCGTGAAGAATATGTTTCTTTGTTCACAATACCGGTACGTTGGAATTGAGCTCATACATTCACATGGGTCTTTAAATCTGGGCAGCTCAGAAGCTTTAGAATTGCAGGCATGTATAGTCAAGAACAATGTCTGTTGTTGAAAAGAAAGTATAGCTTCATGTCATACGTACTTTTCCTTTTGCAACCAGCACTGTTTTTTAGGAAGTACTCGTGCATCAATTTATGTAGTACATTTTGGAGTTGTTTACTGTGCTTTGGCTGACTTAAATGCTTCAGTCGCTGTTTCCATTTTTTAAGTGGCAGTTGAAGTAACTGGTCTTGCCCCTGCATGCTTTGCAGGCTTTGAAGTGCAAACAAGTTGAGGCTTTACTCTGGTGTGCAAGTATATCGTATGTCCCAGTTTGGTCGATGCAGATGCTTTTTTTTTTTGAAGTTTCTTATTTATGGAAGTTTTTCAATTGGTCTTGTGTCTTCAGCAATAATGCTAAAGCTTATTTTCTCTCACCTATTTCTTCAGAGCTTATTAAAAACAATATTAATTTCCAGTTTAAGCATTGACTTGCATCAGATTATATACATCAATTCCTGGAATCCTGCATCCATCTAGCTGTCACATTTTATTTTAAATTGATGCTCTATTCCTGGTATCTGTGTGTTTGTGTCTGTGTGTGTGTATGTGTGTGTGTATGTGTGTGCGTGTGTGTGTGAGAGAGAGTGAGGGAGAAATTGAGATATGGAAAGAGACCACGCATGAATAAGCAAGAGTGAAAGCTTCCAAAAGCCAGAAACAAATCCCTTTGAATTTTATGGTTCTGTTTTTGGTCATGCATGTTTTGGGTTTCATGTTTATCAGACGTTCATTTTATTTAATTGGTTTTGAATGGGGCATTTTTTAAAATTCCGTTAAAGGGTTAAATCATAAATTGCCGTAAGGGGAGAAAAAGATTTCAGTGTGCGTAGCCATAAATTATTAGGATGATTTGTTGTTTGTTTTTTTTTTTAGCTGATACAGTTGCATTTGTAGTGACTGAAGACGAGGGGATGAATGTGTGAGTGTGTGTGTATGCCTGCTGGTATGCCTGAGTTTCCTAAGGTGGTTAGAAAGAGTTTATCTTAAAATTTGTTTGTACGTTTGTATTTTGTACCTTTATGTGCCGATGAGGAGCCATTCACTCCAGGCTCATTTAACTGTTTATGGGTGTTTGTATTCATCCACAGTTTGTTTCCTCACGTTCTGTATTATATGTTTTAACACTGGTGGCATTGTGCGTGGGTTGTTTGTTATAGCTGCCGTGAGCTGTGGACCATCCCTTTCAAAATAACACAAGCGTTTCTTCGTTCGCTCACGCCTCTGTTCGCTCGCTAACCATGGTGTACGTACGTAAGTGTGCGTTTGCTTATTTGTTCAATCATGGTTTTTGAAACACAAGAAATAGGCAAAATAGCAGCAAAAGTGTGGACTTGATCTTCTACATGCTGTTTGGAACTGAAATTGTACATAAAAAAAAT